TATGATTTCGACATCTGTCTTGGCTTGGGCTGTGTTACAATTCTGGAAATTAATCCAAGTTTGTTTGGGGTTTTTTACTGCCCAGTGTACAATTCACCATCTCCAAAAGATCAGAGAGACCCTCAAAAGGTTTTGAAGGAGCAAATGACACTGATAAACAAAGGCAACCCTTGCAGTTATGCCCCAAAGCACAAATCCCTTCTGGCATTTAGACAGAGGACTTAAATCAAGCAGCTCTGTAAGCAATCTGCATGCTAAGAAAAGCATAAACAGGTCTTATTCTCCAGAAAAGGAGGCTGGTACAGGATTAAGAGTGACTTCTTCTCATGCTTCCCTATAAAGCAGTCCTAGGATATTACAATCAGGACACCAGCCCCCAAGTCTACTCTAAAACATGCTTTTCACTGATTTCTTTGCACTATGTTCAGTGAGCTGCAGCTCAAGATTTATGGGATTTTAATTGGTTTATATACACTATAACTTCCAAAGTAGCTGCTAACAGGAATACATAATGGCTACATCAAATACCATAAAGCTTCAGACTACCCAATTTGTTCAGGACAGGGGGTCAGACTCAGTTGTCTAATAGGTCCCTTCTGATCCTAAAATCTATTAAATCTACTATGAGACACAAAGCTCTCAGGACCCTTTAAGCCTTGATGAACCAGCCTCCTTTTCCTGCTACCTATAAATCATATTTAGAGAAAACCTGAATGGGACTTACAGTTCAACTTTTCTTCTGATTGCTGTGGTTTGCCAGCCTCTCCATTTCATCCCCAGGCACAGCTTAGCAAAACCTTTTCTCTCCAGGAGAGCATTTGTGACCTCATTCACTTGCTTTCCAGCACCTGAGGCCTACTGCTTTGCTAGCACCTAGCCAAAATGTAAAGCTTTTCCAGAAGTAAGTTAGGAATTTCCTCACACTGCCCAGCACTGTTGTAGCCACAGAAAAAATAGTTACTTCCCTCCCTATAAGAAATGTAATCACTTCTCCCTAGCTGCAGGCAGAAGCTAACTACAGCTGCAGCTAATTAGGACACAGGTGAGCGATGAGCAGCTATAAAGAAGCTGGTTAGAGCAAAGCTGATTCCTAAAGGGGCTAGCGTTACTCTGAGTTCATTTGGAAATGCTGCCTGTTTCTAAGCTGGTGTAACATTATGCTTGGCTTCAAAGCTAGAGCTTCGGAGGACACAAGCTATGGTCTAGAGACAAGGATTGGAGGATGTACTGAGACAGTGCAGGTCTTTCTCCCTTTGTTGCACCTTTCCTGCTAGCTTCTCTGGAGCTCTAGCTAGATGTGCATATTTTCTCACTCTCCACTAGTGTGTCACTTGGTCTGGGTGCTGTGATGAAACAAAGCAAACAGAGTTTAAATCAAATGGTCTTATTTGGAGTGTGAAGTAAAAACAGCTTCTAACAAATGCAGTCCAACGTTAAGTGTTGGCAGTTGTTGTCCTTGTGTGCAACAGCTGTGTTGGATGACTGGGAGATCAGGGTTTTGTCGCAGTGACCTGAAGCCATCCTTCCTTGGCAAAGTTCGGGGCAGTAGGAGAGGTAGAGCAAACTGTTGCTGGCTTGCATACCATTTAAATAAAAATCATGTCATTTAATTAATATTCTAGGTTTGAAACCAGAACCACCTGTCTTTCCAAACTGATTGAGGGCAGTATGCCAGAGATTTCCTCCCCCTTGTCTTGGGCTCTGTTTCCCTTGTGTACCCAATAAAATGTGTGGGAACAGACATGACTTGGTGTAGTTCTTTAATAATAACATCAAGATCAGCAAGAGTAATGATTGAATGTAACAAATGACACATGCAACAAACAAAGTGGAACATCATTACATAGCATAGGTTGAACTAGCAAAACCAAAGTCCAGATTAAAACACAAGGAGCCTTTGCTTTCTGCTGTAGCATCGGCACAAGTAAATACAAGGTTCTTGATGTTAGGCCCTCAGACCCTGCCAGCATTCTCCAAGAATTCAGACCTTTCTTCCCCCCTCCCTGCAATCAAAGCAATGACAGATGGTGCTCAGGCGCACGAGCAGAGCGGAGAGAGTATGCTGAAGACCACCATGGCTAATTTTAACAACAGCTTCAAATTAAAGCCAGCAGCAACTTGGAACTTGAAGCAGTTCCTTAATTGTCTTGATCCTTGCCATATTCTGCTGCTTATTCATTCAAGGCTCCATGATGCGGGTGAATAGAGAGCTGTGCGTATAAAAATATATTCCATGAAGTAAAAACAATGTGAGTCCATGATCAGAGTGACCTTCTGTAGCTGTAACCATTATTCCTATCAAGACCTATTCCGCCACTTCTACATTTGTGCATGTGCAGGTTGTAAAAACTATATATAAACAAGACCCTACTTCCTTGCTGAAAAGGCAGAGCAGAACTCCTTCCTGTTTGTTTTTTGCAGCGAACATTTGCGAACAGTAGTCCATGCAATGTGTTCACAGGAAAGTTTTATAGGGATAAAATACATAGGGTACCATACCTCTGTATTCAGTACACCAGCTAATTCAACCTGGTTTACATAGCATTAATTGTTAGTGGAAGTTGGTTTAAAATTTAGGCCAAAATGCTATTGCTAAATGGGCATTTAAACACCTAAGCATGCAAAAGACATCTGAGTTTTCAAAAGAGCTCAGCACTTGCCACTTCCCCTGGTTTCAATGAAGTTTGCGGGTGCTCAGGCCACTTTTACTGAAGGTCTTAAATGCAGAACTAGGAGCCTAACTCCGGGTAGACAAAGTCTTGAATGTAGTGGGGCTGACCTTCAGCTGATGAAAACTGCCATAACTTGGCTGAAGGCACAGGAGATATGCCACTTGACGTCAGCTAAGGAGTTGAGGCATTGCCCTTCATTTCTGTTCAGATTCTAGCTTTGGCACAGGGTCCTACATATTGCTGCTCCCCCAGATATTTATTTCTCTCCCTCTCCCTACTAGTGCAAAAAAATTATAAACAAGTGCAACTAAAAGCTTGCATCTACATGCCCAGAACTTTCACGCATTTGTATGTTTGCAAGGACTTCGCAGTCTGACTACTGCATGGCACTCAGTCACTTCTGCAGCAAGCCCATTATTTCTAACTGAGCTAGAGCACAACCTTCGGGAAGGTGAGCAGTCTTGCTTTAAGCACTCCCAGAGATATATACATCTACTCCAGCTCTGAGTAAGCTGCTGATTGCCCTCTTTGCTTCAGTTTGGGTATTACTTTTAGGCTGAATTTGTCTCACTTCGGTTTCCCACCACTGCTTTGTGCTCTGTCTCCATTCTAAAGAGCTGCCTTGGCCAAAAATCATTTCCCCTTTCAATAATTTCTGTTCAGCACACTGTGCTTTAAGATGGTCTCTCTTGGCTGGTATGATATAAATAGGGATGGTCCTGCTTTGAGCAGGGGGTTGGACTAGATGACCTCCTGAAGTCCCTTCCAACCCTAATTTTTTATGCTTCTATGAAAGGTAAGGCCACATACTGGCTGGAGTGTGCACCTGCAAAGGACCATCTATTCTGCACCAGCTGAAAGCCGTGCTATGAGTGCACGCTTGTATTTGGTTTGTGCCACAGACCCTTTATTATATACACCTGCTGCAACTCCTGTACCCGTGGGCCTGACTCATCTATGGATGTAAATCTGTAGTGAGAATCAGACCACGTGTGTCTCATGGATTTCAGTTTTGCCCTTGCCTATCATGAGACACACGGTCTGATTCTCACTACAGTGAGGAAGGCAGTCTCTATCTGCAAATATCTGCTCTGGTTTTGCTGAGAAAGTCAATCAGAGTCCACTGAAAACAAGTAACTAAAATTACCAATGGGTTCCCTGATTCTGTGCCTAGTTACTAACCTGTACATAGGAACACAGGCATCTGGTTATCGTGTGCTGCCTACACATGCCCATTGCCCTGTGGCGATATACCACTCTGGATCTGTCCATATAGTATCTATATGATGGATCGAGGGGAGTATAAAGCCTTTGGTCCTTGTGATTCAATTAATGCTATGTAAGAGGCACTCGTCGCTACAGGAAATATTTGTACAGTTATAAAAGCAATACAACCATAAAGACAAAAATACGACAAGCACAGCTTGATACAAATACATGCCATGAAATATCATTGGCTTTATAATAATTTACTACAACTTGAAAAATGTTCTTTTATCCACACTGGATCGGAAATGCTTCCATCTAATGTATGGTAAGCATGCAATAACAATATATACAACACAAATTTGGAGTTTGCTTTCTTTTGCTCATGACAAGGATTGTAGAATAGGGGCACTTAAAATTATTGACTTTTCTGGCCTGATCTAAGTGTTCTGTTGCTCTTTTTTTTTTGTCTCCTCTCTTAAGTTAGTGTAAAACATTTCATTTGTGCAGGAATTTGCAAGCAACCTATCCCTAGTCATAGAATATAAACACTTCCATTTTTACCCCAAGCAGTTGTTCAGATTCACAGGGTAACTGATCCTGAAAAATGTTCTTGCTTCGGTGTCGTGGAAACCCCCCCAGAAACAAAACAATTTTCTTTTCTAACTTTTGAAGCTCTCTTAAGAGAACCATCGAGCAATCCTGTATTACATACTTCCCAGGTATTGCGCTATCTCCACACCAAGCCAAACAGCTATTTAACCAGATCCTGTCCATCATAAGCAGGAGTCCAACCAAACCTTTCTCAGAACTGTAAAAGTTTTATGGTCCCAAAAGCCATCCGCCTGAACTGATCACAGCCTGTATCAGACACATTATGGCCTAATAAGTATTGAAGCTGATGCTTTTGCTCTGAAGTGGTACTGCTCTGTGCTGCCTGCAGACAGAACAACTATGCTGATGGGGAAATCAACCCCTTTTCAAAATAGGCAGCCGGAGACTTCAGTACTGTTTGTTCCTGCTGTATGAAGTTATTGGTTTCAGATGGCAGGAGATATGCTGACCTACGGGTAGGTAAGGTTGGTAAATACTGACTGGTATTTGAGGCTATTAAGTAAAAAGACCCCAGTTAATTTCCCAGCTGGGTCTTTACCTTGAAAACAGGTCTGTTCCTCTTTATTTTATTGTTTGCAAGGAAAAGCTAGAATTAATATTTTGAACAGCACTGGAGTAATGACTTGGCAAAGCATATCTTTATCTGGTAAAAAAAAAAGTATTTTATACGAGTATGAAAACCCTTAGATATTCATAGAACTGTACGTACAAAGTTGATTTATTTCTTAAGACTTCACTGTTTCCATGGCAAAAGTTGTTTAATGAGAACTGATGATAAAAGTAAACTGGGGAGGTGGAGGTTTGACTTCGATGCTGAATGACCTCTTCTTTTCCTAGTACTGTGTTACAAAGGCACTTACTCAGAAGGTTTGCTATTGGTTAAAACAGGTGCATATGCAGTATCAGAGACCATGTTTAGGTCCCATTAAGAAAGGGAGAAAGCATAAAGAAATGCAGCCAGTGCATTTCTGGGAAAACCAATTCCTGTCTCAAACATCTTGTGCATGATCTGGCCTCAGTCAAGACTGATAATGGAAGTGATACCATTGGGAGGTAATGAATAGGGTGCAGAACAACACCTGTTCCCTCATACGAAGAGTTTGGAAGGGATCCACAACTTAGGAAAGGACAGGAAAATGAAAACTGATGCAAAAAAATGGGGAGTGCAGAGGAATGCAAATTTACAAGGGGAAAAAAGCATCAGTGAGATGAAGTGACACTGAGAATAACACCACCATTTAAGAAGCCTCAGGGAACTGTAGGGGTTTTTTTAACCATTATAACCAACCACTTGTTACACCTTCAGAAATTTTGAAAACCTTCCTCTTAAAATGAAAGATATCACTGAAATGCATTACAGTACTGATCTGTGCAGCTAGCTGGATGGGCACAGTGATCCTCCACATAATGCAAGCATTTCTTACTAATTTATCTTCCACAGGTTCCTCAGCTCTACAATCTCCTGATTCCTAGAGTCTCCTCCTGCCTGCTGAGCTCTCTGAAGGCTGGTCCTTCATCAACTCATCATCTTCAGAAGGCTGAAACCTCTAGATTTCTTGATTTAAAAAAAAAGATTACACAGAATTCATTTCTTTAGCAATGTTTCAGGTGTCTTCACTTGCACTGCCTCATAACCACGTACCCAAATCCCATACACCTAGTCCAATGCCCTCCCAGACACTGAAGGAGGATAACTTCCTTCCTTCTCTAATACACGGTCCATTGGGATGGCTGCTTGTTCTTCACGTTCAAAAAAACAGTTCATGGGCTCATAGGTAGGTCATCACTGTTGTCTGCATGCTGCTGGGTGTGGGTGAGAAAGGATCAGCTTTCCATGGGAACGCAAAGCAGTTCATGCCATGTTTGCAAAGTAGCCAGTTGAGATGTCCATACATGTGGGAGCCTTTTGGTGACACCTGTGGAGGATGGCTGAGTGGTCCACGTGTTTTCTGAGAGCTTACTCTTACTTCTGAAGTTGCTCTGAGAAGCCAGCGAGGGTCAGGGGGAGGGAAAGGTTCCTGCTGAAGTGAATGCTAGTGATCTAGGTTCCTGCAGTGGCTTCCATTTTGGCAGCCCCTCAGCTTCCTCTGTGGGATGGTTTGGTGTCACTGATACCTCAGGGATTTCTTTTGGTGTGTTTTTTTTAAATGGCTAAGAAGTATTGTGTTTTGTGGTCACCCATTTCAGAATATTAAGGCCTCCTGAACCCCTCTTCCCCAAAGACAGGTTGGTTACAGTACAGCTGAAAGGGCCTCCCGGATGCTTCTGCAAGAGATGGGGGCAAAGTGGACCCCCTAGATGGAAGGGCGAGGGGGAGGCCTAGAAGGGGGAGGGGCTCGGTTAGGTG